ACAACTAAAAAATATATTTTTTTTTTTTTTTAAAAAGGCGGTCTTTTCTCCAATGTATGTTTTTGGCACCTTTGTCAAAGAATAGATGACAATAGATGTGTGGGTTTGTCTGTGTGTCTTCTATTTTGTGCCATTGGTCTATGTATCTGTTTTTATGCCAGTACCATGCAGTTTTTGTTATTATAGTTCTATGGTATAATTTAAAGACAGGTTTTGTGATGCCTGCAGCATTGTTTTTTTGGCTTTGAATTATTCTGCATTTTTTATTCTTCAAAATGAATTTGAGGACTGTTTTTTCTAATTCTGTGAACAATGTCACTGGTTTTTGATGGGGATTGCATTGAATCTGTGTATTGCTTTTGGTTGTTAACAATATTAACAATATTAACTCTGCCTATCCATTAACATGGGAGGTCTCTCTCGTTACTGAGATATTATTTAGTTCTTTCAAAAAATTTCAATTTTTTGATGTTCTACAGTTTTTATTGTAGAGGTCTTTCCCTCCTTGGTTAGATTCATTCCTAGGTATTTTATTTATTGAGGCTATTGTGGATAGAATTGTTTTCCTGATTTCTTTCTCAGCAGATTTGTTGTTGGTATATAGGAAAGCTATTGATTTTTTTAAAATGTTGACTTTGTTACTCTGCCAAATTTGTTTATTAGCTCTAGCAGTCTTTTGGTGGAATTCTTTGGATATTCTATGTATAGGATCATATCATTGCAAACAGTAATAACTTGACATCTTCCTTTTTTATTTTTATCCCATTTATTGTCTTCTCCTGCCTAATTGCTCTGGTTAGAACTTCTAGCACTATATTAAAAAGGAGTGGTGAGAGTGGACATCTTTGTCTTGTCTCAGATTTTAAAGGAAATGCTTTCAGTTTTTCCCCATTTACTGTGAGGTTGGCTTTGGGTTTTTCATAGATGGCCTTTATGATGTTGAGGTAGGTTTCTTCTATTCCTAGTTTCTTCAGTGTTTTTATCATGAATGGGTACAGAATTTTGTCATATGCCTTCTCTTCATCTATTGAGATTACTAAGTGATTTTTGTCCTTAATTCTGTTTATGTGATGAATTACATTTATTGATTTGCATATATTAAACCATCCTCACATCTCTTGGAATAAAACCAACTTGATCATGGTATACAATCTTATTAATATGTTGTTGGACATGATTTGAAATATTTTATTAAGTATTTTTGTATCTAAGTTTATCAGTGATATTGGTCTGTAGTTTTCTTTCTTTGATGAATCTTTATCTGTTTTGAGTGTGTGAGAACAGTTTCATAGAGTGAATTTAGAAGTGTTCCATCCCTTTCTGTTTCATGGAATAATTTGGGAGAATTGGCATTAGTCCTTCTTAAAAGGTTTGGTAGAATTCAGCTGAGAATCCATCTGGTCCTGGGCTTTTCTTTGTTCGAAGGTTTTTTTTTTGTTGTTGTTTTTAGTTGTAGATGGACAGAATGCCTTTACTTTATTTTGTTTTATTTTTTTATTTTTTTATGTGGTGTTGAGGATCAAACCCAGTGCCTCACACATGCTAGGCAAGCGCTCTACCACTGAGCTACAACCCCAGCCCCTCGAAGGCTTTTTATTACTGCTGATATCTCATTACAAGTTATTGGTCTGTTTAATTTTTTTCTTTGTTTGTTTTTCTGTTTTGTTCTCTTGATTCAGTTTTGGCAGATTGTATTTGTCTAGAAATGTACCCATTTATTCTAGGTTTTCCAATTTGTTGGAATATAAGTTTTCAAAATAGTCCCTAATGATCTGCTGGATTTCTGAGATATCTGTAGTGATTTCTTCCTTTTCATCTCTTAATTTTATTAATTTGATTTTCTCCCTTTTTCTTTTGATTAGTTTGGCTAAGGGCTTATCCATTTTGTTTATCTTTTCAAAGCACCAACTCTTTGTTTCATTGATCCTTTGTGTTGTTATTTTTTATTCTCAAGGTCATTAATTTCAGCCCTGATCTTAATTATTTCCTTCCTTTGGACTTGTTTTGTTCTTCTTTTCCAAGGGCCTTGAGATGCATCATTAGGTTGTTTATTTGGGAATCTTTTTGAAGGAATGGGTTGAAGATATCATGAAAAGGCTTCTGAAGTTTAAGGATCAATTGCTGATGAAAATGATTAGAAACATTTCCGAGCATGATGGACCAACTAAAAATGTGTTTATTGATTTTGTTGGGGACCTTGCAGCCCAGATCTCTAATGATGAAGAGGAAGTTTGTGATGAATGTTTGGGAACTCTTGCAAATTTGACCATTACAGATTTAGATAGGAGTCAGCTCTTAAATAGCACCAGTTAGTTCCATACCTCAAGGATAAATGAAAACCAGGTGCTGCAGAAAATGACTTTGTTTTACAAGTGGTTATAATGATTAGAACTATATCTATGGATGACTCTTATGCTACATTGCTAGCAAAATCTAGAATAATCCCTGCACACATCAAATTTCTAATTGCTTGACATTAAGACAATGAGTTTGTATGTTGGTTTTCTACCAAGCCCTGAGAAACGTCATAATCAAGGGGACCCAGGCTTCAGCATATCTTGTAGATATCATGCATGATAAAAAATAGTGAAATCTGAGAGGTCTGTAATATGCTATATATTGTAGTGGAATATGATGAAGAATGGGCTAAGAAATTTCAGAGCGAGAAGTTTTGCTGGCATAACTCTTAGTGGCTGGATATGATATAGAGCCACCAGATGGACGAGAGTGAGCAGTACTTGTATGGTGATGATTGAATTGAGCATATGTCCATAACAGAGATATTCTTGAAAGACCTAACTATTTCTATAATTCAGATGGATTAATTCCCTCTAAAGGAGCCATGATTCCTTCAATGATTATCATGGAGATGTAGTTGGGCAGCATTCATTTCCTCGCAGTCTTGAAATGGATAGCATTGGCCAACCAGAGGGCATTCTTGGATACCCTGCCATAGTTTATGGATTCTCCTCTGATGAATCTTAGTAATAAGGCTATTAGTCTCAGTAAAGTCATCTCTTTCCATGTGTATTCTCAGCTTAGAAGAAGTCTGTATGGATTGGGTTAATTCTGATCTTGGCCTAATAAAGCATAATACTATTATGGGTCTGTGTTTCTTCTTCCATATTATTAGCTGCAGATGAACTTCAACCCTTTCAGTTGATGCTACCATTGCTCCCTCATCCACCCACATCTTGATGCTGAAAAACATTTCCCATGAGACTCAGAAGTGAATGTTAAAAAGCTGCTAGATTAGAGAACAAACACTGCATTATATACATTAAGTGAATAATTTAATTTCTATTAAAAAGATGCATGAAGTGCAAAAAAAAATCCTTTTGTACATGTAATCATACAGTTTACTCTTTGCACCTGGCTTGTTTCAGTCAACAATATATTAATGAGATTCACTCATGTTGCAAATAACAGTACTTTATCCATTGTAAACCCTATATAATATTATATCAAGAGTTGGCAGATTGTGGCCCAGAGGCCAAATGTGGTCATGATTCATTTTTTACCTTATGGATATCAAAGTATTAAAAAGAAAATGTCTTTGCTTCCTACAGTACCTTTTAAAAATATGTGTAATATTTCTCTTTGTTTAAATAGGAAAATAATATCATGGATCCTGAATTAAAAGAAAACATATCCCTTCTTTCCATGCTTATGAATATATTGCATGTGTAAGTGTAGATACCCACTAGTGTAGATATCCATTATATATTTTGTACTGAAACATAGCTTATACTTGCACACAAGTTTAGGGGAAATTTTAAATATTTTACTTAATTGTTTTATTTTTTAAAAAAAATATTTATTTTTTTTATTATAGGTGGACATAATATCTTTTTTTTTTATTTTTATGTAGTTCTGAGGATTGAAACTAGCGCCTCATGCATGCTAGGCAAGTGCTCTATCTCTGAGCCACAACCCCAGCCCTTAATTGCTTTATTAATATCCTGAATCTTTACACATAAGACCTGGCAATACATATTTGTTGTCAAAACTTTTGAAATGACCCAGAAGGATATACAAATCAAAGTAATGTTCGCCTCTGCTCATCCCTTTGGCTTGTGTAATCCAACCCCTTCTAAATAATCACTGTTGACAGTTTTGCAGGGTATTCTTACAAATATATTTATGACATGAAAGTGTTGTGGTGTGAGTGTGTGTGTGTACACTTTTTTATTTTTTAACACACCTGGGATCCTAATATGCATACTAATCTATAACTTGTTTTCATATTTAATTATATATTATAACTATATTTCCATTTTTGCAAAATAGAGTTCTCACTCATTCTTTCTCATTTTTAAAAATAATTTTGTAGTGTACAATGAATACATATTTCATCATTCCTCAAAATAGCAAAAATTAAACTATTTCTAATTCTTTGTGTAAGCACACATGAATTTTTCTTTTTGTTTACCTATATGAGAATATATTTAAGAATGATTTTTAGACATTGAATTGCTGAGTCACATATATGTGCTTTTAAACTTTTGACAGATAGGCAGGGCATAGTGATGCGTGCCTATAGTCCCACCCACCTACATGGAAGGCTGAGGTGGGAGATTGCTTGAGCCTAGGAGTTTGAGACAGGCTTGGGAAACACATCAGGTCTCCATCTCAAAAAAAGGCAGGGAATGAGGGATGGTGGGTAAAAGACGGTGGAATGAGATGGACATCCCTACCCTAAGTACATGTATGCAGACACAAATAGTGTGGCTCTGCTTTGTGTACACTAGAGATATGAAAAATTGTGCTCTCTATGTGTAATATGAAGTGTAATGCATTTTACTGTCATATATAACAAATTAAAATTTAACAAATAAATTTTTAAAAATTAGATATCACTAAATTGCCATTTAGAAAAGGCAATTGGCCATTTTGCCCCACGAGGCATTATTATTATTATTGACAGCAGAACTGTCTCTGCACTTTATGAAATCTAGAATAAGGAAGTTTTATATTGATTGTTTCTTCTGTTGTTTCAGAACAATGAGATGGTGGAGCTACAGAGAATACGGATGAAGGATGAAATTCGAGAATATAAGTTCCGGGAGGCCCGGCTCCTTCAGGACTACACTGAACTAGAAGAAGAGAATATCACTTTGCAGAAACTAGTGTCCACGTTAAAGCAGAACCAGGTGAGATTTAAGAAGGTTTCTTTTAGATACACACAGATGGATCCACAGATTCTGACAACTCTAGTTCCATCACCTCTATTTCTTAGGGAGGAGCTTGTCAAATTTTTTTTATAATCCCTTAATCTTTTTATGTAATATTTATGTACTGAGATTTCTCAACTTTCCTATTTCAGCTACAATGTAGAAGGAAAAAATACACCTATAAGGAGTATAATTTACAATAAAGCTTTACTAATAAAGATACAAAGGAAAATTTTGGTTTCTACTTTAACTCTGTTGATTTTATTTCAGCAGTTAAGTTAAGCCCATTACAGTAAACTAAATCTGACAACTTCCAGTTCAAAGCCTGGGTCTGTAGGCTATTTCATTCTACAAGCTTAAGGTCTCCCTACAATCACTTGTCTCATTCTTTTTGCTTTCTTCCTCCCTCCTTCCTTTTTCCCTCCCTCCCTCTCTCCTTTTTTTTTTTTTTTTTTTTGTGTGTGTGTGTGTGTAATTTATTTTTTAGTTTTAGGCGGACACAATATCTTTATTTTATTTTTATGTGGTGCTGAGGATCAAACCCAGTGCCTCACACGTGCTAGGTGAGCACTCTACCACTGAGCCACAACACCAGCCCTCTCCTTTCCCTTTTTTTTGGTAAATTGCTTTTAAATCATAGAAGGAAAGGGATTATAAAGTATATACCAGCAGGAACAAAGGCATAAGAAATCAAGTGCCTGATTTCTTTTTCAGCTGTACCCTGTACCCGACTCTAAAGATGTACATTTACATAATTATGTAATTTTTTTCTGTAGTAAGGCTTACATGGCTTCCTTTTTCTAATTGTTTTGCAATGTGGTTTTGCATAATTATTACTAATTGAATTCTTGAATCTGTAATATGAGAAGAATCCATTTATGAATACAGCTGTATCGAGTAGTTAAGTAAAGGCAACTTGGATATCCAAATTTTTTTTAAGGAGCTTCCTCAGCCATAATCTCTACTTTGGTCTATATGCTATCATAACCTCTCAGTTCAGGTAACCCGACTATGTGCCCAGCACTGTACTAGGCTGGAAAGGTACCAGAATTCATAAGACATGATTCTTAACCTTGGTAAACTTGGAAAACAGCCAGTATATACTTTTAGAGTTAATGAGCTGGGGATTTGGCTCAGTGGTAGATCTCTTGCCTAGCTGATGTGAGGCCCTGGGTTTGATCCCTAGCACTAGGGGGGAAAAGTTAAGAGGACAAAAGAAAAATATGGATTGACACAATTAAAATTTGGTTTCTGATCATTGCCACTTAGCTTTGGAGTTGCTGGGGAAATAAGATGTCTACTGATGAGAACAGGGGGTAGATTCAGCCCATAAAAAAGGGTTATCAGGAAATCCCCATGTGTTTTTACCTCATTCCTTCCCCTTTGAGCACTGAACACCCCACGCACCAGAGGCCAGCAGACCCACATGTCACAGGAGAGTAGGCAGCTGAAGCTCTAAACCTCCATTCTTGTGTCCCAGCAAAAGAAAATTTAAAGAATTTAAAGAAAAGCCATGCAAGAGAATTTTATTCTAGTGAAAGTAAAGTTAGGTTGAAGCAGAGAGCACTCGCAAGAGGGTGGGTCCTTTCTGAGCAGAGAGTGACAAAGGAAACAGTGAGGCTTCCAAATTCATTGCTGTTACACATTTGCCTTGGGAACTGGGGTTCACCTTCCGCACTCTTCCGCAGTCATGTGTTGAGCGCCTCCTTTGTGTTGGACAGTGGAGTCTTTGACCCTAGTTGGTCCTCTCCAGACCTGTCATGGTGGCCTCCTATTCAGAGTGGCTTCATCTACAAGTCAGTCAATCCTGTGTTAATGTGGGGACTGGATTTGGTGGCCAAACTACCTTAGTGCACTTGTGTCATTAAAGAAATTTATCTTCTGAAATATATGGAGAAACTTATGGCCACAAATCCTAACTTCACAATGACCCTGTCAGGAGTTAGCTTCATTGATCTTTCTTTCTTGACCTGTTTGATTGGCTCCCTTTGTTTCCACCTATTTATTCTCAGGGTTTGTGCACCTGTTATTTTTGTATAAGTTACTTAGTTGTTCATTTGCCTTAAAAACAATTTAAAGAAGCTGAGCACAAGAGTGCACTCTTATAATCCCAGCAAATCGGGAAGCTGAGGCAGGAGGATCACAAGTTCGAGACTAGCCTCAGCAAGTTAGTGAGGCCCTAAGCAACTTAGTGTGACCCTGTCTCAAAATAAGAAGTGAAAAGGGCTGGAGATGTGGCTTAGTGGATTCAATCTCTGGTAATAACAACAAAAAAAAGTAAAGAAAACTCATGACCATGCCATGCTATTGGTTTGCATTCTGCTGCTCATTACTATCTACTGCCTAACACAGGCATCCCAGGTCTTATTTTGGCTGGGGTAAATGAGCTTGCAGTGCAGAAATTAATACTTAGAGGAATTTTTAAAAATATGCTTCTCAGCTGGGTATGGTGGTGCATACCTAAAATCCCAGCTACTTGGAAGGCTGAGGCAGGAGGATTAAAAGCTGAAAGCCAGCCTTAATAATTTAGTGAAACCTGGTCTCACAATAAAATTTTTAAAAAGGGCTGGGGATACAGCTCAGTGGTAGAGCGCTTATCTAGCACGTGCAAGGTCCTGGTTCAATCCCCAGAACCCTCAAAAAATGCTTCTTAAAATGAGAAGGATTTTTTGTGTGTGTGTGTGTGTGTTTCTTTTGTGTGTGAGTGGGTGGGAACTTTGGGGTTCTTTTGTTTGTTTTTGGTGTAGTTTTGGTTTTTGTCACTGATGAAGAATGAGAGAACTTTGTTTGAAGTACAAATATTTAAATTGCCTTTCCTTCCTCCCTTTTCTCTGCTCAGACAGGAACAGGAGCAGACAGCCTCCCTGTGGTCCTGTGTGGTGGGCTGATTCATCTCAGGGGTTAATTAGAGCCAGGATTAGGGGTCCTTGGGAGACTGCCAAGGTACCCTGCCTGTGTTCATTAACCTAGAAGCTGATTCTAAGGGAATTCATTTTATCAATGTGGCTGATCACTGTTTACCATTTACCCAGACCCTTCTACCAGAAATGGAAACTCGGGAGTTTTGAGGAAAATGTTTACATCTCTTCAATTTTACTTTCTAGATGTCAGATGATAATTTCCCCAATTAAATGTTGAATCAATTGAAAATCATTTTCTGTACAAGCTGTTTGGGCTTATTCCCTGACACATGGGTACACCGTAGCTCCAAGTCTGTTCCAGATAAGGAAATGCTGTGGGTTTTCCCCTACTATTGGCTTTTATTTAAAGACATTAGCATCATAAATACTCTAATTAATGAATTGAGCATAATATTTTGTGTACAAATGCCACCGGTTTTTGTGAAGAGACAAATGGCATTCAATCACAAAATCAGTCTGAAACTTACTTTGTACTGATCCTCCCTACACGCTGTGTACCCCAGCCTGGCTGCAGGTTTCTCCAGCAGCAAAGCTACTGCCATTGTAAGATGCTTGGTTCCAGGGATTTTTCCCTTCTGAAGTTTTGTTTTTCTATTAGCTATTTATTATTTTCTAAATAATATTTAAATAGCATGTCTTACTCCCTCTTTAAGCATCTATTCACAAATACTTGCTGAAAGACTGAGAAAACAGATGTTCCTTTCTTAACCTTCCCATGGAACACATTAATTCGGGAGTATGGCTAGTGGCTAGGGACTGTCAAATTATCAGATGCTTTAGGCTAGGTAACAACTGCTTGGAATTTTGAAAAGTATATTCCAGTGACAGGGGTATAGCCCAGAGGTAGAGCATTTAACTTGTAGGCACACAGGCCAGCACCACACACACACACACACACACACACACATACACACACAGAAACACACAAACATACACACAAGTATATTTTATTTGCACGTCATCATGGCTGTTATATTCTATTTAAATGCTCATTTATGCATTTTCCCCATCAGGCAATTTATTCTCCCATCAAGTATCCACAATCCTAAGTAATGTAGTTAATATGAAACACAGAAATTTCCTTTAGAGAACAATTATTCGTAGTATGCCATGAATTGATCTGTTATGTTTCCTTATATTTATTCAAAGATATATTTAGGGTAGAACAATTAGCATTCTATAATTATCATTATAAATAATAGATATATATCTCCTTGATTGACTCTTCTGAGTAATTCTATCTCTGACATGTTGAAATTCTAATTACCTTTTTTTCTTTAGAAATGTCTTTTATAGGGTGTTTTTACATAATGTATTCCAGGCACCACACTGTGGTAAACACATTCTTTTTATTGAAATAACACTCTCCTTATTCATATATACAAATAGCATTCTTGAAAACATCTTTTATTCATGTGCCTTACAGAGTTTATTATATGCTGTATAATGTGGTAAACACATTCTTTAATGAAATACCACTATGCTTATTCACATATGTATCTAGTATTCCTGGAAACTTCTTTTATACACGTGTCTTTACAGACCATGCCCCACAGTGCTCCAATGACCTTCTGTAACAACGAGTTTTGGTTTTCATTTCTCCCCATTGTATTTCCCAGTTTTAACTGGGCCCAAGGCTGCCCAGAATAGAAACTACATGCTTCCAGCTCCCTTGCATTAAAGTGTGTCGTAGGATCAGCACTGGCCAATAGAATATGAGAAAAAGCAATATGGGAACGATGGGATGTTTCTGGAAAGGCAGAGGGTGTGCCCCTTACTTACTTCAGCCCACTGCCAGGCACAGGATCAAGATGGCAAGCCAGCTTGGCTCATGGACCAAGTAGAAGTCAGGGCAGCAAGAGAGGAGGAGCCTGGTTCCTGGATAACCTCCTGGAGCAGAGATTCCCCACTGGTCTTGACAGTCTGCCTCCATACTGTTACATGAGAGAGGAAAACTTTCATCTTGACTGAGACGTCTCCTGTAGGTCTCTGATACATCAGCCAAACCTGCATCCCCACCAAACCCGTATTCTAACATTTGCAAGATAAATGATCACACCAAGATTATGTGAGGGGGATAAAAATACATGAAAAGTAGTGGTTTATGATCTCTTTTCAATTCTTAAAACCATTTTTAAAATTTAAGTTCAAGCTAATAAATACCAAAGTTAAATATAAAGCCAAACAGTTTATGTGAGCATCCAATAGCAGGATGTCTTTGTTTTTCTAGTTTATTTTTTCACTCACGGTTTTTCAGCAAATGCTTATTGAAGAGCAGAATTTTGTTTTAAACACTGTGAAGGAACATTGAAGCACTATGAGGGACACCTTGGTGAATCAAAAGTACTTTCTCCAGGCAGATTTCAAGGCAGTTGTAGAAGTAAAATGTTTATGGAATGGTGACATGTGACAAGTGCCAAGGAAACAGTCCCAGGGAAGGCCCAGCAGCTCAGAAGAGAGACCTCTGTCACCTGTGGGTTTTCATGGCCAGGAAGTCGTCTGAGCAGGCTTCCACTTGATTACATCTCAAAAGAATATTATATTGATAACACTATAGATATGTTTTGTTATTGGATAACTTGCCCCTTTTCTTTCAGATTTTTTTTTCTTTTCTTTTTTTTTTTTTGTACCAGGATTGAACCCAGGGGTGCTTAACCACCGAGCCACATCCCCAGCCCTTTTTCATATTTTATTTAGAGACAGGGTCTTGCTCAGTTGCTTAGGGCCCTACTAATTTGCTGAGGCTGGCTTTGAACCTGTGATCCTCCTGCCTCAGCCTCCTGAACTGCTGGAATAACAGGCGCTCTTTCAGATTTGATCCTTAAGCCTATATAAACTTTCTTTGCTTTCTCATCTTAATCTCAAACATATCTTATTGAGATTTTTTAATTGTATTCTTTTAACTTAATTTATCCCTGGGTATAAAAGTTTCCTATTTATAAATAATGACATTTTTAAAAGTAACAGTGATGATAAAAATCTTTCCATGGATTGTATTTGGATAAATTATTAGCAAAAAAAAAAAATATTCCTGATTTATTAGGCAAACAATTTCCTCTTTTGACGACTGGATCCTATAAAAGAAATCCTAGGACAGTAGAAAACTTTTTCATCCTGCTAAGAATTAAATTATATACTTATACATATTTCTGTTACCAAAATAAATTAGAAAAAGCAACAATGTCATCATGCTATTAGATGCTAATTATATATAATTTTATATATGTGTGTGTGTGTGTGTGTGTGTTCATTACATATATAATTTCTAAGGAAATCATCCTCTGTTATCTTAAGGAAATACTATTGCTTTTTATGATTTATTTCTGGCTGGGGGTATAGCTCAGGGGTAGGGTGCCTCCCTAACATGGATAAGGTCCTGGATTCAATCCCTAGCATCTGAAAAAAAAATCATATGTATATGGTTCATTTTGTAGACGAATGTTGTCATCTTTTTTAGTGATTAAGTCCACTAGAGCGTTTGATGGCAGTTTTGTAAGACCCAACTTTTAGTTTTATGAATCTTCTTTGTCCTATCTAATTCAGGTTGAGTACGAAGGCCTAAAGCATGAGATCAAGCGGTTTGAGGAGGAGACGGTGCTGCTCAACAGCCAGCTGGAGGACGCCATCCGGCTGAAGGAGATCGCCGAGCACCAGCTGGAGGAGGCGCTGGAGACGCTGAAAAACGAAAGGGAGCAGAAGAACAGCCTGCGCAAGGAGCTCTCCCAGTACATCACCCTCGGCGACAACCACATCAGCATCTCAGTCGATGGCCTCAAGTTCGCGGAGGACGGGGGCGAGCCCAACAACGACGACAAGATGAACGGGCACCTCCACGGGCCGCTGGTGAAACTGAACGGAGACTACCGGGCGCCCACCCTGAGGAAAGGGGAGTCCCTGCACCCGGTCTCGGACCTATTCAGTGAGCTGAACATTTCAGAGATTCAGAAGCTGAAGCAGCAGCTTATGCAGGTGAGAACTTTGCCTAGGGCTGAGAGAAGGGTCCATTGCACTATGGTAGATTGCATGTGGTGTGCGGTGGGATTTCTGATTCTGGTGATTTAGTTCCAGGCTGATTTTTTAAAATGTTGCTTCTTCAGGTAGAAATTGAAAGCACAGTCTTTTAGAAGGATACGACAGAAGGAATGTTGAAAAGAAATCTCTTATTTGTATCACTTTAAGGAATGAAGTTCTTAATGTGGTACATATACACAATGGAATATTACTAAGCTATAAAGAAGAATGAAATTATGGCATTTGCCAGTAAATGGATGGAACAGGAGACTATCATGCTAATTCCAAAAAACCAAAGGCCTAATGTTCTCTCTGATATGTGGATGCTGGCTCACGATGAGATGGGGGAGTGGAGATTCACTGGATTAGGGGAGAGTGGGGAGAAGGGCAGGTAGATGGGAACAGGAAAGCCAATAGAATGAATCGGACATAACTTTCCTATGTTCATGTGTGTAACTCTGCATCATGTGGCACTCAAATGAATTTCTTTGAGCTACAAAGTTCTGAGAAAAAACAGATTCTTACTAACATTTCTGACTAACAGAGACTCTAAAAGCTTTATACACAAGTGGAACAGCAGAAAATGCAGTTTTTTATCACAAGTAACTGTATGTCTAGCTTCCAGATTAATGGTTACATTTTCCAGGAGTACTTTAAGCTATAAAAAAACAACAAGGACTTTATGTATACAAATTGGCTAGGATACTATATGATTAAAAACACAGAACAGGTGTAAATCTGAAACCAAAGGATTCTAGATATTCCAATATAAGCTAAACCTTAATTTTTAACATCTTCAAGTTATATGTATCCAGAAGAGTGAGAGCCTTTATCTTATCTCACTATGATGGGACTTTCTTATTTATAGAGCCCTGCCCCCTAATCTTAATTCAGTGCCATTGGAAATGTCTGTAGAACAAGGATACCGCCATAGCCTGGGGGTTTATTTGAAATTGCTGGGCCCATATTGATCTACTGAGCCAGGAATCTGGCTTGTTAGGTGGTTAAATTTGGGACTAATCTTCAGTCTCATGCCTCCAAGGTTCGTCTTGTATAGCTGATAAATTGAGGCTGTTAAGATTCTAGCAATCGTACAAACAGAAAAATGAAAACTTGATCTCCATTTGTATATTTGAATTGAAATGCATTCTGCTGTCATGTATAACAAATTAGAACAAATAAATAAATTAATTAAAATTACAAAAAGAAAAGACTCTAGCAATCACTTATTTTACAGCAAACAGAGCTTCGAATTTTCTTCTTCCAAAGAAATGAACAATGAAACTAGCAGAAATAAAGACGAGAGAGCAAATAAAATTAATTTGTTAATAAGTTTATTTTTAATACTGCATGCCCTTCACTTTACCACCCCAGTGCTTGTGGCTGCTAAAAGACAGTTTTTGCAATATTTAATTTGAGTCAAGATAAGAGACCATGACCACTGGAAGAAAACCAGTTTTATATAGCATTTCTCCTGACACAAAATCCAGTTCTTTGTGGGTAATATTTTTCCATATCTTTTTCTCAGTTTATACTAATACAAGTAGGTTGGTAGAAATAGAAAACATGCCTCTTCTTGAAAAAGTTGTATACGATACCTATTTTCATAAAAATGTGTGCCCTAAATTAAATAGCACTTATGATTAGTATATTTTCTGAAAGTATCATGTTGATGGCTTTGGAATAAAAAGCCATTGTGAGTTGAGCCTTTTTGTTTCTTCATTTTATTTTGCTGGCGGGGGGAAGATAAGAGGAAGTGGGGCTTCAAGGCATAGGACAGCTCAGTAGTTTTTAACCAAGTCATTTATTGGGTTAAAGCTCAGAGCTGTTGTCACACTTGACCTTAAATGTAATCTGAATTGGGAAATATAAAGTCCAAAAAAGATGAGTAGTTTATCTTCTCATGAGTGATAGAGAAAGAGAACAAGTAAGTCTCAGCAGAGTGAAGTATGCATTTGGGACAGTTCCTCATTATCTGAGACTGTCTCCCAAGTTAAGGAGGTTTAGCCTCTCTGGCCCAGCCTATTAAAGTGCCAGGTATATCTCTTTAGTCATGTGATAACCAAAAATGTCCCACACATTTCAAGTGCACTCAGCTGCTAGATGAGATTTATTCTTGGAGCTACAACATTTTACTTTTCCATTAAATAGGGAGTCGAAAGACTTCCTCATTCGATTGTTGTGAAGGTGTATGAGCTAGTTAATATGTGTAGATTGCTTAGAACAGAACCCAGTGCACAGTAAATAGTTATTGGAACTATTATTATTTCAACTCCATAGTGCCTTTAGTTTTTGAAGCACCTGATTTATTTAAGTATTTTTATTCTTGCTACTAGAATTAACTGTTGTTTTTGGACTATCAGCTCAAGAATTGTCACCTGGTACAAGACTGGTACGTGCAACTGAGTGGAAAATGAGAGTTAAGTCTCCTGATATGAAAAGGGATGTTCGTGTTGCAAAACATGAGGGTGAGAAAAATTCTGCAGGATACACCCTCCTTCCTTATCCCAGAGAGCTGTGTGCCTTCAAGTCTTTCATCAGCACTCAGTTAGCATGGACAGTTCATAAAGGTGTAGAGGGGCCCAGGCGGGCCTTGGATCACAAATTTGGCTCCAAATTGAGTAATGAAAACCAGGCTCAGCACAGGAAGGACTTTATAGCTTCTGGTCTCACACCAGCAACACTAACCTCTCAATTTTTTTTTTCCAAAGTAACCATTTATCTTCTCATAATTAGCATATGGTACCAGGGATGCCATATGTGGGTGGTACCAGGGTGCTTTAGCACTGAGTTACATTCTCAGTCCCTTTAAATTTTGAGACAGGTTTTTGCTAAATTGCCCAAGTTGGCTTTGCAGTCCTCCTGCCTCAGCCTCTTGGGTAGCTGGGTTTACAGGCATGTGCTACCATGCCCCGCATTTTTTTCAAAACCATATCAACTGTTTTAGGGATATTTTTCATTCAACATTTTTGGTACAAGGGCAACAGAGTGTATCTTCTCATGAATGATTTCTTTATAATCTGATTGTTTTTCCTTAGCTATGCAGTCTTTTGGGTTTCATTCATATAAATAAATTATAAAATTATTATTTGATGTGAAGCTTGAAAATAATATGTCAATTCTGATCAACAGCAGTTCTGATGGGCCATGAAACATACTGTGAGTTGTACTGTTCTAGACATTCTGAAGGGACTCCAATAAAATGCACTTAAGTATTGCTACCTAAAATACTTGAGGCCACATGTGTTTTGAAATTCAATTTTCAGACTATAGAAAGGTTACATGCTGCATATGTCATGTGTATATTGTGTCATCCCCAATGTGGCCACATGTGGTACCCAACAATCACATAATATTAACGTTAAAATATTAATGTACAAATATGTAACAACAAATCCACCATTATGTCCATCTATAATGCACCAATAAAAATGTGGGAAAAAATTAATACTAATGTTAAAAATTAATGCTAAATGTAAAATGTTAAATGCTAGTATTAAAATTTGTGTAGTAAAGCATGCAAGTATTCATATGAAGAGAAAAAAATCAGGACCATTTTTTATATGAAAAGGCCTTCGTTTGGTTGGGTGCAGTTTTGCTGCTCCACAGGAGTTTAGGGCTGTCATTATATTGCCACCAAACAAGTTATATATAACTTCTATTTCAAGCTTTTTGGACATTGAAATTGTGGCCAACGTAGGTGGAACTGGGCTGCACGGTTAAGCAATTTTGTATGTACACTTGGGATGGGACAGTTGGTATTTTCATAGTCCCTTTGTCTCTTAGGATTTCTTTTGGCAAGAATACAAAACATTTCATCTGAGTGAAGTCTGTGTGCCATCAAATCTAACACCTATGCTTAGTTACTGCTGATCATGTCGAGGGGCACAGGCTGGGATATAACATCTTAAATGGGGTGATATGCAGCTTTTCAGACTATATTCCTTGTGATTAAGATCTCTTTAGATGGATAGGGGAATAAGTTCAAGAGGTCTGCCGTACAATGTGGTGGCTATAACTGATAACAATGCATTTTATTCTTAAAAATTACTAAGAGAGTAGTTTTTTTTTTTTTGCAAATGATAAGTATGGGATGCAATATATGTATATGTTAATTAGCTCAAAATTTAGCCATTTCACAATGTATCCACATTTCACAACATTCTGTTATACATGGAAAATATGTACAATCTTTTATTTGTCAATTAAAATTAAATTTTTGTAAAAAAAAAAAAAAGAAGAACCTCTTTAAAAATAGCATACGTAGGCCATACCCTATTGGCCTTTTCTTGTCTTACAAGTCTCCATCTATACACATAAATTATGTTATCTCTTTTGTAGGTGTTTACTTAACCTGGTTGGGGTGGAGGGGACCTGTGCATCTTTCTGCCTTGAATGTCAGGAATGCTGGGTAGTTGCTTTCTCTGAAGCTCCTTCACAAAGAGGGAAGGCAACACATTAGCAAAGCACTGGTCCCTTACCATGCCTTTGTTAGAATTAGGAAAAAAGAAAATACAAAACCTGGTCTCCTTCTTTAAGAGGTTATACTGCCATCTGCTGGGAAATGATAATAAGTAATAAAAATCTATAGGGACTACAGTTTAAATATTGCCTCCTTATAGAATTGCACTGTGTACAACCTGCACAGTTATACTTTAAAGCCCTAGTAATAATGCCAGGCCTCTTTTGTAGAATTGTGAAGAACAAATGGGATGGTAACTATGAAACTATGTGTCATTCATAAAACTGTAAGTTATTATTACTGTACTGGGAACTCTCCATCAGTTTTTGAGGTGCCAAGGTCTCCACTACCATTTTATATAAACAGTGAATACAGAAACCATAAAATTATGGGAAAGGGTAGATGGTGGTAAGCCTTGATTGAAATTAGGGAGTGCTTTTCTTCCCAGAGCAAATTGGTGTGAATATTTTACTGCTCTATGTCTTCTAAGATTATG